TAAAACATGGTTATATTTTACCATTTTGGAGGAGAAGGCTTGAGCCCCAAAGCCTCCCTCCCCTCGTAGATCCGCCCGTGCTTACGATCCAAGATGCTTCGTTAAATCCTCAATGCCTCATATTAAGTCACAAATAAAAGCATTCATAAAGTTCTTAATGTTCCATATGTCGCTGATTTAGCCCGATCCAGATATCTACCCTTTTATGATAAACTCGTCTTTTCAGAATCCACTTGTTTCCAGTCTTGCTACTTCATCGATTCCGGATAATCCTCATAGTCATCTGAAAAGAAGGTAGCCTCGCGATCTTCTTACCTAGAATTATTTTGGCAGTGCTACCACCGAGTAGTATTTCGAAAAGTCTGTTCATGTCATTGTTTATAATTTATGCATATTTACTAGTTGTATTTATTTAATACAGTAGTAATATTCAACAAATAAATAAAAAGTAAATATATTCTCTTTTTTATGTATTTAGACTTTATTTTGTTCACTACCGTAATGAAAATTGGTAATATTTTTCAGCAGTAAGAAAATATGTTGATTTTGGAAGGTAATTGATTTATGAAATGAGTCTTAATAGTTGTTTGAGCGGATTCCGAAATATTAGCGGTAGCAATCAGTACGTTTGTGAGTGAATTCTTGTTGAATTTTAGCCTGTTATTGATATTTTTTAAAAAGATATTAGGGAATCTCGGTTGATAGAAAGGATGATAATGTCGTTTTTTTTCGTTGTAATTTTTCGTGTTGTTTATGATTTTTATTATTTTGAAAAAAAAATATACCCTTTCAGTAATTAGTACTCATAGGAATAAATATATTTTTTTGAGATAACTAGGGGTGCCCATCTCCACCTAAGTCAAATGCGCATGCACCCCTCTCCCCTCTCAAATTATATTAGCCTACTCTTATTAAAAAAGTTTTTTATTCATTGATATTTACAACTGTATTATAAAAAAAAAAAAAACTAATAAATCTACACTCAGGAATATAATAATAGGAGATCTCTTGTTGAGAAACTACCCACTGATAGCACTCAAATTTACTCAAGAAGATCACGAGGCCACCTTCTTTTCAGAAGCCTTGGAGAGTTATCAGAGATCGAGGAGGAAGCAAGGTTTGAATCGTGAGGGTCCGGGTGGTTCTGCAGTTTGTTATGGAAGGATAGGTATCTGGATTGGGCCAAATTGGAAACATATCGAACATTTAGGTCTTTATGGATGATTTTATTTGTGACAAAGTAAGGAGCGTGAGGATTTTGGATTGCAAGGATTGGATACGAGAGGAATTCGATGGTTTAGTGGAGCCCCAAAGCTCAAAGTCCAAAAAGGTCTTATTATTGTCATATATATGAGTCGTTTGTAATTGATTGAAAGCTTAGAGCGTTTGTCTAGTAAGTGTTGGAATAGTCGGAAACGTCGAGCGGTTTCTTTTCGTTTCAGTCTTGTATGAGGATTCCATGTGATTAAAAATCATGAAAGCAAAAGGAGAATCAGAAAAAATATAGTGCATGCACTTTTTGTTTGTTTCATGTTTTTCTCTTGTCCTCTCGTTTAGAAGATACCTTACCATCACCAAATTTAAACCCCAAAAAATTATGGTTTCATCCGAAAATTCATAACCTAATCAAAATGTACCTTCCCTTCAAAAATTCAAAACTCAGTAAAAATGTATCACCCTCAAAAATTACGATAGCGACATGAAAAAAAAAATATTGTCATTGAAAATATGCCAAAATTATTACTGGTGGTTTATGATCCAGTTTGTGTATGAAAGCTATCATCTGATGATTTTGGAATACTTCTGGTTCTTTAAATTTGACTCTTTCCTATGAGCAGTTCATGAATGAATAGCTTGAGTATTCTTAATGTTACCAACATCAATAATAAAAAAAAAAAAATACTAATTGACTGTATTACGTATCTGGACATTACCATATTCCAGACTTGGCGCTGTTGACGGTTAAAAGAAACATCAACCTTGTGTATATAGACGTTCTCTTGACACAAAGGACAACTTGGTGATTGATCGAATCAATTGCATCGATTGTAATGTTGGACATCAATCGTTGACGAGTAACATGTGTTAATAAACTATTAGGACTGTTGGCTTCGGCTGTCATTAATATACGTCCACCACTAAACGATGATGGATGTGACGGGATTTCGAGGATTGTAAGGTAAAGGTACTTTTTGTGCAATTAAATTTACTATTTACTACTAATTTAACTTTAAATTTTAATATCGAAGAATTTTCACTGTTATAGCCAGATTAAATATCTTATTTAATTTCCTATTCCGATTTAAGTACTTCTCAGATCATAGGTAAAAGTTTTAATATCATTTATAGTAATTATTTTTACTGAAATCAAAGGTACTATCATTGCGGTCTGCTCCCTGTTTTTCTCTTGTCCTCAGTTTGGATTTTAACATTCCAAAAATTCATGACCTTGCCGAAATGTGCCCTCCCTCAAAAATTTAATACCCCGTCAAAATGTTCCCGCTTAAAAATTTTGATGGCGCAACTTGCGCCATGAAACCCCCTTCTGGGCTCCTCTGGTTAATGGTGCGCGTTAAATAAACTGAGACCATGAAAAAAATATTGCCTAATTTACAAGATCCTCTAATTATGTGATTGAGGAAATATAATATTAAAATTAAATAAATAATAATACCAACAAACGAATGAAAATGGACATTTCGCTAATGAACAAACCAAGTAACATGGACTATTTTTTTTAAATATCGTAAAGCTGTAATATCTTTGTCACAGGAAATAACTTGGTTATTAAAAAATTACTCCTTATGAGTTGTGTAATGTGATCATTTTCCAATCCCTCTGTATACAGTGAAGACTTTTTTTTTCCTCCTTTGCCTCATCTTTTCGGGTATACGTGGTTTTACCAGACCCGGGGAGAGAGCGGAGGATCAATACCAGAGTTAAAAGCTCCAAGTATTGGGATTCGAACTCGTTATTTTATTTTTATCAGATTGCCGGGAAAAGCGTGTTTTGCATGCGTGTTATAATGTTCGGCCATCCCGCTCCCTTCGTAACTCTAGTAATTTCTTCTAGGTGTTTTAGCCTGGAAGAAGTCCACAATTCACGTTTATAATAAGGATCATTTTTTGACTTACCAAGTTATTTCCTGTGATAATCGCTACAGTGTTGCATCTCTCCGCAATCCTCTAGGTGTGAAGGCGGAAAATAATTTTTACTGGCTAGGGAAAGCCAGCATTCCGACTGTCGTGGTAATCATCAGAGCCATTCCTCATTGCCAACGGTGCTTGAACATAACTTGATGGCCGACGCCGCGCCAGGTACCAAGTACAAGCGATGGTCGTCAACCAAAGCGGCTCGTAGCAGGTGGTTTATGGTCGCTGCTTGCCAACCGTCGGCAATCACAGGTGAAAGGAACGGTTTCTTATTCCACTGTCACTGTTAACTATTAGAGAGTTGGAAAGTGGAGGAATTAATTTGTTTTCACAAATGTCTCATTGTCATTAATCATAACTCTTATTTTTTTTTTTTGTTCTTCCCTACCTCGCCTTTTAGGCTATACGGGATTTTCCCGGGTCGGGGGTGAGGGCGGGGAATTTAAAATCCCCTCCGGCACCGGGACGCGAACTCGTACTTTTTATATCATCTCAAATCTCTGTTATCCGGTTGCCAGGCAACTAGCGGTGTTGTGCGCACGCTTTAGCCTATTCGGCCACCCCGCCCCCTTATAACTCTTATTAATAATTGTAGTTTTATGGCACTTATTTATCAGTTTTTGTATTCTCTCGGTAAATAAAAAAGTGAGTAATGAACATTTTTTTCTCTCCCCTTCCTCGTCTTTTAGGCTAGACGGTGTTTTCCCGGGCCAGAGGGCGAGGGCGTGGGATTAATACCAGAGTTAAAACCCCCCTCGGCACCGGGACGCGAACTTGTAACTATGTTAACATTCATAACTTCGGTTATCAGCTTGCCGGGCAACGCGCGGTGCTGTGTACACGCGTTAGTCCACTCGGCCGCGCCGCCCCAAGTGTAGTGAGTACTAGATAACCGAGAAAATTAAAAAATTGAAAATACAAAGTGTGCTCCGGTGAGCTGGCAGACAAGTTATTGTAACATCCTAGGCATAAACCTGACTTAAAGACATAACTTATGTTTCTTATACCTATTCATTTATTGATCAAGGAAGCTTTACACGTAGGCCATTTTACGAGAATTGGTCATTTATACTCTAGTTGGAAAATTTCCGCGATCACTTTATTTTAAAAGTAAAAAAAAATGCCCAAAAAATGTCTTGCGATATCAAGTCTACAGAAAACGAACGAAATAATATTAAAAATCACAATATAAACGGGTAAAATTTTCGATATTTCAATACCAGATTTAAGTTTCAAGGTCTTCTCAGTCCAAACAGATGATGTTCGGAAGTTACATTTTGTAGAAATGGTTTAAAATATTCGGTTTTCGATAATCTAGCCTTCTACAACTAATACTTATTCCCACAGCTAAATAAAATATGTAGTTGTATGAAAACCTAAAAAGATAAAATGGAACTGTTTTAACAGAAAAATCTTGATTTACTAAATTTACACCCTTAATTTGGATATATTCGTTATCGGTTTTTTAATTTGAAAATATTTTTTCAACAAATTATTTGTGCTTATAAATTCATGAAGTCTGCTTTTATTTTATTCGGTCTCCTCTGCCTACTCAAGAGTTAGGGAAATCCCAGAGAGGTCTTCTCAGCTTGAGTTCACACAGATCTTATTTTTAAGGAGACGGTAAAACCGAAATTCATGCTTGTCATTTCTTTTTTAAATCCCCGTCTATTTAACACATAAAGTATGCATGCGAGATATTTCTTTGAGACAGCCCATTTTACTTCAGGTTAAATCAAGAAATATCATTTATATCTTAGATTTTTTTCAGAAATATCTGAATTAGAAATAAATAGCGATTGGCAGCATCAAACATTCGACTTCGTGAAAATTATTATCATTATTATTGTTTTTTCGATGTTAATAAGAATCTTACAAGTAAAAAATGTATAATCCATCGCATTCCTGGAAGTTGCTGGAACACGAAGAATCATACAATTATTTAATGCAACACATGTTTTTATTGGGTTCTAAAAAACAGTTTAAATTAATGGTTAACTAAAATTTTATACTTAATACATTTAATCTAAAATTATCAGTACGGTTGTATGGTTGGTCCGAACTGAAGATTTCTCACTGTATCTTTCGCATCTTATGTACCAAAGAATATGAGTACATAACCTCTGGGATCTTGACAGATATCATTTGCATTTGAGGTAAATACACAATATTTATTAAGGCCAGTATGGTCGAACATGCTTGAGTAGCTCACTTGAGTCTTATGCGGGTTCGAATCTTTATGTTAATGTAGAATTTTATTTATTGGTTAGTCTTCTTAACAAATGTTCAACCTTTCTACTATGTTGGATAGGCCATTAAGCTGTAGGATAACCTAGTTTCACAAACCTTAGAGGAGGTTAAAACGCAGACCAAAACAATCATATGTTTACAACTTGTTATATTTCTTATTACGCTTCTTAGCATTATTTCCTAGAAAGAATATTCTTTAGTTTTGATGTGAATGTTCTTGTACAATCCGGTTCCATGCTTCCCGATTCAGCGTTAGCTGTTTCCATCCAGTTATTCCAATCCCTGCCAGATCCACTTGTAGGTCATCCAGCTTTTTCATTTCCGGAACAAGTTTTCCATTATTTTCGTCATCCTACTATCATCTGAATATGACTGAGCCAGCTAATTATTAAGCGTAATATATTTTCATGCTTCATTGAATCTTCCACTTCCTGATTATTTCTAATGCGCAACACACCTTGGAGGTATATCGGACAAAAAATATGACTTAGAATCTTCATTTGAAAAACACAACATAGATCGATCAGTAACTTTCAGCGTCCAGGTTTCTGCGCCATAACGAACGATAGGTCTGACAAGAAATTTGTAAAGCTTCATCTTGGTAACTCTAGTGAAGTATCGATTTGAAGAGATTTCCAAGACAGCAATACGTTAATTTAATGATTCAAAAGGTGCGTAACGTTCTCAACTGCTTCAAATATAGCCTTATTAAATGGGATATCGGTCGAGTTCTTGCATGAGATGCAGACCATGTAGTTTGATTTTGCTTCATTTATCTGTAGACCAATCTTTTTACATTCGGAGGTTAATTCAGTAAGAACTTACCTTAATGCGTTCCCTTCTTCCTCTTCCAAGTACTACTATCTCATCTGCATATCCGAAAATTTGTGAGGTAGTTTTGAAGAGAATACAAAATTTTAAAATCAAAGACTGCTAAAAATTCGAAATGAAACAAGTTTTTTTCTGAACTAAAATTTCGTTTCCTCATTTTGTCAAATGTCCCACGTTCCTGGCAAACATCAAACTTTCTCGATTAGGATTCTTTTCTTATGAATTCCTTCGTTTTATTTTACTTTATGAGTATCTTTGTATAGTTCTTTCATGATTTTATTATGTTACTTCATTGGCTCTTGTTTTTCTATCATAGTTGTAACATTCTCATTCTAGTTTAAACAATTGTACGTATATTGTTACCTTCTCTAATCCTGAGCATTCCCAATATTTTCATCAATGTTCTTATTTATACTGTCATTATTATTTTATATATTTTTTGTTCTTACTTATTTTTCTTTTAACTTTGTTAAAAATCATTTAAGATGATCAGTTAGATTAGATAACCTGTGGTAAGTCAAACTTGATTAACATTATCGTGTTTCGATGGTCAGTTTCTATGTTTCTTCTTTAAGTTTAGCCCCTGGAATTACCAACTTGTTTTAGCCTAAGCAAGTTAGCTTGTAATAATAGAAAACATAACTATATATGTGTTACAACTTATTCATTATTTCTTAATAATAAAGCAGTCATCAAGTTTATCAATTTCATTTGAAATCAATACCCAAAAGCTTACAAAAGTTATAAAATAGTATTGATGTTATTGTACATTTTCTTTATAAATTAATATTTTATACAACATTATCGGTGACCTATCTGATATGCTTACCATTTCCTCAGTTTTTTGTTAGTTGCTCATAATCTAGACTATTGATATATTTTGTGAGGTCATATCGAAAGTTATTGTACAAGAGAAAATCTGATATTGGTCAGTTTTTTGCCTTTAGAAGTGTTGTCATAATCAATTTAGGTCTCTGCCGTTCGTATAATTGATAAATTATATGTATAAATATATATTATAGATTTATAAGATATATTTATAACGAAATATGTTTTCAGTCAGTTGTTGAGGCAACATGGCTTGGGGAACTCCATGCGACGGCCCCGTGGTCGACTTCGTCATTTTTCTCCTTCAGGTAATCGAAAAATATTCACTTGTTTTAGAATATTTAAAGTTTTATTATAACTATAATTGTTTCATTGTAATTAATTATAATTATAATTGTTTTATTATAACTATAATTATTTAAGAACTCACATTTTTAATATTTTTTACTCAAATCATATTTTCTATGTTGTTCGTTTTTATTTGAACATAAAATTTTCTATAGATGGTTGACAAGGGGCTATAGAAGGTTGAAATAACGATGGTGTGTGTAACACACGATATAACTGTGTTAAATATGAAAAATAGTCATGTTTCACATGCTCCTAAAATTTTTTTCGAATGTTACGAGGACCTTTTATCGTCACCATTTTTGAGGAGTTGTAAAATTTTAGATGATTAGCATTTACACAAATTATGTTCACATTAATACTTGCTTACGGAGGGAAAAAAAAAATATATCTTTAAAGGCCTTTGGTACCCACCTACTCAAACATATTAATATTTTAACATTTTAAAAAAAAATTTGGAGGGGGGTGTTTAACCTCCTTCCCATTCAAAAACAAATTAAAACGAATTTGGTATCGCCCAGAGTTTCTCAATATCCGCATATATTGTTTAATATTGCTCAATATATGGTTTAATATTGCCCTTACACGTGCAATTATATTGACACTGTTTCAATAATATCGAAGGGCCTTGAAAAAAAAATATATCAAATAGTTTGATTGATGTCAATGTAAATGTAGCCCTTCTACGGTCAATAATATTGACTATGTAAGTGGCCCTTAAGAGTAAAAGAAAGTATCATAATAATAAATCGACATATTTATGTTATTTGCAATATTCACTATGGGGATCCTAATGCTCCAATTCTCCTCCGCATGGATGGAGATGAGCCAAGCAATAGTCTAGGAGTTCCTTGGATCTCTCTCGCCAAGATGAACAAGCTGGTACAAGTACTTTTCAGTTTACCATCGAGTTTCGTTCCTGCCACTATGGCTCTTAGAAAATGTAATCAAGTATGTAAGCAAGAAGATGGCGCCAGAAATAGAATCGTTGTAAAACTAGGTATAATACATAATTGTTTTCAATAAAAGGTATGCAATATTACCATTTATTTATTTGGATTCCTAGGATCGTAGAGGGTCTAGGGAAGGTAGATGATGATGGATTGGATGTACTTCGAAGGGCCGATGTCCTAGATGTTCTTTATTTTTGTATTTATTTTAGGTAGATTGACGATAGAACTTTGAAAGTTCACTCATGACTCGTTTAACTTTATTTAAACTTTTCATATCGGGATTCATAATCTCAAGCAATGATTTTTGAGAACACGCCAACTATCCAAGTACCTTCAATTTATTTTTTCATTTCTTCAATGTTTAATTCTTCTTTATTTCCAAATGCTGCATAGCTTTTACTTAATTAAAATATTAGAAAATCATTTAAAATCGATTTAATTTAACTTATTTACCATTCAAATCACATCTAAAAAGAGGATTCCTACATTACATGTAGGAACCGGATCGCAAATCATAGAGCAAGTGGTCGTTGAGCAGGAAGGTCCCCAATTAAGTAATTCCGATATTAAAAGCTATTATAAGATTAAGGGAACCTTTAAGATATCCGCAAGATTCACAGGAATATGATTATATAATACGCTAATTGCCTGTAGCAACAAAATAATTCGAAATACATGATTTTTGAGGTAATATCGAAGGGATAATTGTAATGATATTTTTACAATTCGCTATATCTTTTAATCATCTTTGTACTTCCAAGGACAATAATGTCATATTTTGTTTTTAAAATTGGGAATATCGACACATATAAATCCTTTTACACGGTTAGGTTTCTCGACCGACGAATATTTTGACCGGTAAGGATTAGAAAGGACTGGAAACGGAGGAAAAACTACGAAATTTACCAACTTTATGGCGAGACTAAAGGTTGGTACAAATGCGGTGGGCCACGTTGCACGCATGCCGTTAGTAGAATGCCCAGAAAACTGCTGAATGGGAGGCTCCATCGGACAAGAAGAAGAGGAAGACCTCGCCTCAGATGGGAGAACACTGTTGTCAGGGATGCCCGCAACCTACTCAACGTTTCCAACTGACGAACGGTGGCACAAGACCGAATTATCTGGCGAAGACTTGTAGAGGAGGCCAAGGACCGCATCGGTCTGTAGCGCCAAAGAGTAGTAGGTTTCTCGACCTGTTTCTTATATAGACTCAACTCGATTGATAAACTTAACCGTGTAAAATTGTGTTGTTACTCCTAAAGTTTAACTTATTTAAATATATTCTATTATTTATGGAATATACCATGGAATATATCTGGAGTTCAATTAATGGAAATGAATGAAAATTTTTATCACAAATAACAAAAAACAATCGATGCAAATTTGCGTGGTAAAGTTACTTTATCGGTAAACACCTTTTTTTGTTCTCTACTTTCTCGCCTCTTTGGGTAATTGGTTTTTTTCTGAGGCCAGAGGAGAGGGTAGAGGATTAAAACCAGAGTTAAAAGTTCCTCTTCCCTTTCTGGCACCGGGACGCGAACTAGTACTTATTTTATTATGTAATCTACGGTGTATTACGCGTTAGCTCGCTCAGTCAACCTGCCCTCTTTTTCTAGAATAAAAACGGTCTTTAAATTCTGTGTTGATCTCCATTGGTGGTTAAATACAAAATAACTTAACTATTTTGTAATTAGTTTGTAATAATTTCCAGGACATAGCTTTGGTTGAGAAACTTGACCGTTTAACCCGGCCTAAATTCTTATGGATAAGAAGTCCCAGAGGGAAGATTGAGAGGATTAGTAATATTTAAATTCACAGTTATAATATCAATATTTTTATTATACCAACGTTAATTTTTAGCTAACAATAGTAATTTTTAATTTTGCTCTAAGAATATACAAACTTCACTAAGGTTACTGTGCCCTAAGACAGAGCTTGATTCTGGTGAAGATGGCGCAGTTCACCATGCAGCGCTCCTTCCGCCTCATCCTCCCGAGGAAAGGCCCAGTGGCCTGCCGCCTGCTCAGCCGTGTCCTGGACCTGACCATAGTACTCTGTATGATCCCCTTCATGTACTTATTCGGCGTGGTCTTCTCCTTCTGGTGCATCAGGAAATCCAACAACTACGAACTCCTGCCCCACATAGACGAACACGAAACGATTTGGATGCAAATAGTAGATCCTTCCTTTTCGGCCATCTGAGAAAGACGCTAGAAATCAATAAAGTTTTTTTCGTTGTATTCTCTTTTAATAGATAATTATATTTTAATGTTTGATCTATTTAAAAAAATCATCAGAGCTTGAAACAGTAATATTTTTTTTTTTTAAATAAAAACCGCATGGAATCTCCCATATGACATGGGTCATAGTATGGATTGACTCCATATGGTATGGGTTGACTGCCTTCATTTAAACCCCCAACCAGGGCCATCGCCTGCGTTCCAGGTGCCTGAAAATTTAATTTGTTCCCCATCCCTAGTTGACCAAATGCGATACCGAGACGAGTCTTGGTCATGAAAACTCAGACATGGTCATGGTCTTGGTCTTGCGCAAGAGTCTCGCAAGAGTCTTGCAGTTACTTGTTAGCTTATTACTATAGAGATATTGCTGTAATTTTTTAGACAGGAGAAACCTAACTAAGCCCAAATGAACATTAGAGGAGTTAAATGCAAAAGTATATTGGTTATACCAATTATTAACAAATAGTAACTGAGACTGTCGAGTATTAGTAACTATTTTGCCTTAATTTTTATTTAAAAAATCGATTTTTTTTTACCAGTCCTGGTCTTGGTCTTGCAACAGTTAGGCGGCCTTGGGCGAATTTTGGGCAACGCTACCCATCCCGTCACTCACTTCTAAATCGAACAGTTTCATGTGTTCTTTTGTTTGTGAGATATATCTATGATATTCCTTTTGCATTTCCATCAATAACCGATGAATTTAAAATCTCTTAGTATGTTAAACTCTAACTAAGTAAACTTATAAATAATAAATAAATATTTAATAAATGTCTATGTAATAACTTATCTTCTATCAGTGATAGAAGGGACGTAAAAACGTAAACTTTTCTCAAGTCCAAATTATAATAAAAAGAGAAGAAAAAAGTTGTAAATTTGAAAGCAAATTATACTTCGGAAAAGTCTAGGAAGTAAAGGAACGTTAGCAGGATATTCTATTTCTGGTTTTGATTGTAATGTAATCCTTTCGCGTTACGATCCACCGTATATGAATCACACCGAAACCTTCTGCGCGGCCTATATCAGAAATAAGGAACCAAAAATTTCCAAACTCCCTTAAACATTGGGTATTGTTAATTCTCAGTTAAAGAAAATTGAGTTGATCAATTGAACCCAAAACACTCCTGATCTTCAGCTTTGCTGCTGTAAATATTAAAGGGACTAATAAATCCAATTATTGTTCTAAGCTCCCTTTACATCCTCCCAAAGAGACAAAGGTGCCTCATTCCAGATCTCGTCCAGAACTCAGTCCTTATCGATACCCTCCAGGGTGCCCATCATATCTCAAGGTAGATGGTACATGAGCCACCTTTCCTTCCTCCCAAGATATTTTCTTATCTCCTCTTCTTAGAAATAGCGCAAGCGAAAGTAGAATTTTAAAAAATCGTAGATCATATACAATTACACTCCATGCGGTCTGTTTCATGTTTGCCTCCTATCCCAAAATTTATAACCCTGTCAAAATGAGTCCCCTCAAAAATTCAAAACCCCGTCAAAATGTGACCATCATAAAAGTTTTGATTGCGCAACTTGCGCCGTAAATCCTGCTTCTGGACACCCCTTGATACTCCATTAATTGTTATAGTGGCTAGTGAAGGTGAAATGTATTGAATTAAAAAATGAAATGTACATAGAAATATTGCAGTTTTTATAAATATTATATTTATTTCTATTTGCGTGTACGATTCCTAGTGCTCCCTCAGCCGTTGAACAGCGGATGATCTCCCTGATCGGCATCTAACCACGCAGCTACTGAAACGAAATATATTAAACAAATGTAGTTTAGAACAGCTATTAAATAAACGTATTTATGTAGCGTTGAGCTAAAATTAGCTTTAATTACAACAAATAAATAATTACAAAACGGTAACGATAAATAATTAAAAGTTCAGCTCCTTTTACTGTAAGAGAATATCTCCCCCGTCTTAACTGTATCAATTTGATTATATAATTTGTGGGCCTACACATTTTTTAAAGGTTATTTAAATATCACATTTCAAGGTAGACATTTACAAGTATGCTGTTTTACAAGTTCAATTATCATGTTCTGAATCATAACTGCATTTTTTAAAGGAGTGTATCCTTCATGGGTCGTAGTGGTACAGGTAAAAAAAATAAAAATAAAATAAACAAAAAATATTTTAGTTTATATATATGTACTTCAATTTGTGTAGTAAATCCAGTCCTTCAAGCAAGTTAAAAATAACAAACTTTAATAGTTGCCTTATTTTTTTAAAATAAAAATCTTAAAGCTATTATATTTTTGACCAAATTGATTCATTTTTCTCATAAAAAATTTCTTTTCTTTTTCCATTAATTTATTTTATTCAATTATTATTAATTAATTATCATTGTATAAATCTACTCCAAATTGAAATTATAGCTGTATGTAACCCTCAACCCCTATTTCCGTCCTCAATATTAATAGACAAATAGACCTACTCCAAATTTAAATTTTAGCTGTTCTTTAATACATCGAAAATTCCTAGTTTTACCTATTTTTATGTTGGTTATTTATTATTTGTCTACTAATATTTAAGACAGAAATAGGGAGCGAGGGTTACATACACATATAGATGAATAACTTCACAGATGTTGTTAAAAACAATTTATAAAAGAATTGGAAACAGTCGAAAGATGAAATTATAGATCTGCATATTTTTTTAAGAGAACATCAAATATATTTATTCAGACAAACCTATGTACAAACAACCAAAAGGAATTAAAAAACATTTTACAGGATGTGGTTAAATTTCTAACATTATTTTACAACAAACTGTAAAATTTGCAATTGCATTATCTGTGATGTTAACCATCAACATTTTTTTCGGAACCAGTGACCTCTTTAAAGTTCTAGTCTGTTTTAAAAGTTCAATTATCAGGTCCTGGATCATAACTGCATTTTTTAAAGGAGTGTAACAATATTATGCAATCCAAGTTAATGTTTGTGCATAACTCACTTGTGTAGTGATGAGATATTTATAATACATCAACATTTAAAAACTTCATTTACAATGGTGGACAATAATCATTTCAATGTTTTTCAAAAACAAATTATAAACATTTCTTAAGGTGGTTGGCCCATTTGTTTTGAAATAAATCCCTTGAAATAAATTATAATCAGTAGTGGTTTCATAGCGCAAGTTGCGCAATCAAAATCTGTCAGCGCCGCCATTTTGGTGGAAGAGCTAGAAGGAAAACATGACTATAGCAAGTGTGATTGTATATGATTACGATTTTTCGCTAGAAATATTTATATGAAAATGAGAAATAATAACATTTTATGAATAATAAATGGCTATAAATAGTTTTGGATAGGAGTTGCGTCGGGGGATCTACTTCTTCCGTCGATTTTCTACCTAACCATTGCCAACAGACCGAAACCCATCGTATAATCCTCAATTTTCATGATAAAGTTACCAATAAAATACTTCATAATGGCATAACGTTACAAAATTCGGTGAAAAAAAATATGTATATCCTTATTTCCATTATTTGTGTACATTCAATCGAATGTGTACAGTTCTGCCTGTTTGCAGTTTAATCCATGATTAAACTCTTCTTCTTATAAGTTTTTCTTTATGGGGGTTTATAAAGGTGGCATATTACGCATAATCGCTCAACAATACACTGCTGCAAGTAAATGAGATTCAATTTTATAGCCAGTGACTGAAGGTATGGGGAGGAATCTTGGATGAGACCACTTCCCCTCATTGCGATGGAAAGGTTACCAAACAGAATAATAATTCTTGCATTTCTCAGTTCATTACTCATTAGGGAAGAAAAACTGAAGGCCAGCGTTTTACTGTGGATTTGATTAAACTCAGCTAACTTGCTATGTTCCTGGCCTCGCGTTTCTACGGCGAGTAAGGGGTTCCAGGAACCGCGTTTATTTGTATTTATATGTATTTATATCGGTCCCAGAAGGGAACCGATCAACTTAAAATATATTAATGATGTATTTAAATGTTAGATACCACAGACCCCCTACTGTAGTATCCTAGATTGAACCATATACTCTTTATTGGATTTCCTTTCTAAAGGTATCATGTTTATAAATGTACTATTTGTTTCTATTACTAATTGGTGGCATGCAAGGTAGAACGTAAAAGTACTACGTTGGTTTACTAACTATTATATTTACAAGCTTAAATAAAACCAAAAACATCTATATACAAAATAATAACTAAACCTATATACATAATGAATAGTTAAGAATCATATTAGAGGAGAATGCTTGATTAGAGTTACTTATGTTCTATTGATTTTATTACTTAATGATTGATGGTTGCCAACACGAATTTACATTAGTATAACTAAATGCTTGTTACCACTTAGCTGGTCCTTCATAGTGTTTCTTGGTGTTTCTAGCCGTCATATCTGGATTCCCTGTCTCTACTCTCCTTCAGCGTCTGGTCCGTCCATCTGCTCTCTCCGGCTGTCTTCGTCTTCCTCCCTCGACTCCCCCGCTTGAAGTCCCAAGAGCAAGTCCTCTCTCCTCTGCGTTCCAAAAAGAAGTCTCTTCAGCGGCGTTCCAAGAAGAAGTGTCCAGTCCAAATTCTTTATTTCCCACCTTCCTTCATCCCCCTCTCTTTTGATAGTCTTTTTCCTGATTGGCTGAATATTCTCAGCCTAAGGGATGACCACGCCCTCTCCCCCAGGCCAAGGTAAAGCAGCAGGTACAGACTTCCATATTTCTGGTGGAAGGTGTGAAAAGGTCCTTTGGGGTCCTTTTTAAACACTTAGTTGTCGGTCTTTGTCGGTGGTCCTTAAGGGTTTTTATTACCACTTACAAAAGGTTGTCCTAATTGGTTACCCTCAGTCAGGTACCGCCAGATGTGAACACTTATAATGTTTATTTCTACATTTAAAATAATTATTCCACCGGCGGTCTTTACAATACATAGCAAACTCAAACCGTGATAACTGCACTGAAAAATAACTGGATCTGCTGTTCTTGGAACGCTTCCTAATTTCTGATTCACGAAGCGTTACAATGTAAGTAATGACGTCTCAAAGCTAAATGCCCT